GAGAGAGAGAGACAGACAGACAGGAGAGAGAGAGACAGACAGACAGGAGAGAGAGAGAGAGAGAGAGAGAGAGAGAGAGAGAGAGAGAGAGAGAGAGAGATCTGATTTTTTATATTTATTCATTTACGAAGTGATCCCCATCGTTTCGACAGTTGTGAAGTTTGCCTCCCGCTATCATCGTTGGAACGGAAGGCAGTGTATCTCCCCGTCCCTCTCCCTCTTCCCGCTCTTCCAGATTTCGCAAGCGCCGACAACCGTTGATCGTCTTCCTCTTCGTCGTCTTCATCGTCTTCGACATAGCTCGGCGGTCTAGAAATGGAGGAGGACGTGGGCCCACCGACCCCACGCGTCCGCTTCCTCGCCCTCCCCCCCTCCTCATCCTCCTCCATAGCCAGAGCTCTGCCTTGTCTTCTTCCAACCCCTAAGGACGAAGCACCAGATATGGCGGTCGATCCCGACAGCTGTCTCTTCCGTCCGTGACCAAGCTTCGTAGCAGATTGACCTCTCTCTTCCTCCACCTCCTCCTCCTCGGAATCTCCAACCAAAGGATCATCGTCCTCCTCAGCACCACTCAGACCCCCTTCACCTCCCAACTTCTCCCTCCTCCCTCTCCCCCTTACATCCACAGAAGCACCAGCAGCCGTAGGCGCCCGCTGGCTACTCATCATCATATTCAAAGTCGTCTGTCTCATGGACCGACCTCCTCCATGTCGAGAGGCAGACGAAGACCCCCTCCCTCTCCCAACCCCCCTCCCTCTCCCCCGTCCTCTTCCCCTTTGACCACCATCTCTCTTGCTTCCTCTCTCCGTCGCCATAGCCATGTCTTCATCTTCGTCATCGTCCACGTCATCATCTCCGTAATCAAGGCCACTCCTCGTCGATCCGCCCACGTGTCTCGTGCCTGTCGACTCATATCCTCCTCCTCTTCCTCCTCCTCCTCCTCCTCCTCCTCCTTCCCCACTCTCTTCTCCCTCGGGATCACCGAAGAAGGTCCTTCGCTTAGTGGAAGCACCCTCTCCTCCTCCTCCTCCTCCTCCTCCTCTTGTCGCTGCGCGATGCAGGAGAGATCCCGACATACCTGATGCTTGGCCACCTCTGTGGCCGCCGCCTCCCGACGCTCTCCTTCTACTTATCGACCCATCATCGTCATCCATCCCGATCCCGGTATTGGACGAAGACGGCTGGAGCGTGCCGCCGCTAGCACTGGCCGAGCCTTCGGCGGCGGCGGCGGCGGCGGCTCGGCGCGCTTTTTCTTCTTCTCCTTGGCGACGCAGCATCTGGCGGCAAATTCCTTCCAAGACTTCCATCTCCATATCCCCACTACTCATCATCTCCCCTCCCCCGCCCCCGCCCACTGCTCTCCATTCCGCCACCAGCCTTTCCCGCGTGTCATCAAGCAGCTCCTTGACCAAGCTATGAAAGGCCATCTTCTCCTCTTTGCTGACGAAGTCGTGCAGCGCTCGCCCTAGCATCTGGTCGGGGATCACCTCCATCTCTAGACGGCTCTCTGCAATCAACGCCTCGATGTTCTGTTGATTGAGTTCCTCCGGCCTCAGCATTTCGTCCTCCGGCCCATCGGGATCCCCATCCCCACCTTGTTGCTTGGTCGTTTGTCGTTTCTTCGCCGCCTTGGTGAACAACAAGATCTCGTGCGGGTTTGCCACCTTCCCCACCCACTTTTGACCGAATCTCTGCGGATTGATCGTCGTGTACCCGGTGTAATCGACCCGAATTCGGACAATTGGCAACGTACGCTCGCCGCCGCCGCCGCCGCCGCCGCCAGGGGCAGATGGAGCCGCCGCCGCCGCCGCCGCCGCCATAGCCGGAGCTTCGCCGTGGGCGGGAAGATGACGGCGATCGCGTTCGCGGCCATCTCCATTGCCATCTCCATCTTCTTGTCTTCCTCTGCCGCCGCCGCCGCCGCCTCTGCTCTGCGCGGCTGCTGTTCCCGCTGCTGCTGGAGCAGAGCGATTGAGTAGCTCTTCGACCTTGTCGTTGAGGAAAGCAGCGACGGCCGCAGGATCTTGAGCTTCAAGATCGGGCTCGTCTTTGAGTGACACCTCGGCGTAGAGGAATGGGCGGACGGATTTGAGCGGTACCTTCGTGGCAAGGAACTCACGACCACGGACTTCAAGAAGCATCACGTGCTTAGGCTCCGCCTCGCCGGCGATCAACGAGGTCGCAACCGAAGATCCCGGTTGGCTGATCTGGAAACCCATCCCCGTGACGACCTGCGGATCAATCAAGCACTCGTGCTCATGTCCCCAGATGACCAAGTCCAAAAAGCGCGGGAGAAGGTACTCGCTGATCGCGTTCTTGGGATTGGACTTGAGTCGATTTTGATGGAGGACGAAGATATTGAACCACGCGTCCGCTCTCAGCCCCGCCTGATCGACTGGCTTCAACCACTGCACGCCACGTGGCATCTGGAACATCTTGTTCAATCTCTCATCTCGGATATTACCGAGGCCGTAGAGGGCGACTTGAGTCTCCCCCTTGCGTATCAGGACGGGACGGATCGATATGGTCCCGACTCCCGATCCCGACAGCGACGTCTTACCGAAGTAATTAACGAGATTGCAAGCCGATAAGATGTCGATGGCCGAGAGGTTGTCCACCCCGGCAGGGTCGTCGTGATTGCCATGGATGGTGAAGACGGGCAGGCCGACGTTGAAGTGAGGATCCTCGTAGTTGACGTGGCCGAAGATGGTAGGGAAGTCGACGGTCTGATCGCTGACGACCTGAAACTTCACCGGCTCATCGCTCAAGCAGTACCTGCGCAGCATCTCGATCGTGCGGACCAGAGTGGACCTGGACGGCTTGTTCTCGTGGAACAGGTCGCCGCCTAGCAACATGAAATCGGCTTTGTGTTCACACGCTAAACGACAAATCTCCTCGAAAGCGACAAAAGAATCGTCCCGACGAACCTCGTCCTTCTCCAGATACCCAAGATGGCAGTCGGTAGCGACGAAGATCTTCAACGTGTTCTCCTCATCTGCTGTGTCGTCATGACCGGTGGCATCCCAATCCCGACTATCGTCTGTTCCGACAGCACTGCGATTCGAGATACCGGCGGCATCCATTTTCTTGAATACAAGACGCTGCTGCTGCTGCTGCTGCTGTTGCCCGTGCGTCTCGACGACGACAAA